TACCTGGCGAATCTTCCACCTTTGACTGACGGTCTCATAGCGCGTGCAAGATCTCGACCACTCGTTCACCGGACTCGAATCGAAAGCAGAGACACTTCATGCAGCTCAGACACGCCAGGCGGAGATGCAGGCGCATTTGCACAACCAAACGCGAATTGAGATGCTGGCTTCTCAGAGCTTGATTGCCAACGTAACTTCAAGTGCACGTGGTCTCCATGAAGCAGTAGATGATGCTGCCGCAAAAATAGCGAAGATGGCTTGGTTTGGCGCACTCCCCGGAGAACTTTTCAGACTGGGTTGGTTGGTGCTCGCAGTCGCTGTGCTGCACTGGTACAGTCCCAACCACGCGAAGTTCGTAGCGACAGTCATTGGTGAGTTCCCAGAGACCATGAAAGACTCAATGCTGATCAGAAGCCACAGGATTCATGATACTTGTGCACGCCTCTGGTATACTGAGCGACCTCAAGTCAATCCCTTCGGACCTGACATTCATCCACCATGCTTCGGGCTACAAAGTCCGTCTGTGGCTACTCATCAGACTTGCTGCGACGCTAGGTGTTATCGCCATAATCGCTGCTATTATCTACCAGCACACGAACGTTTTCAGAGCTTTGCGCTCCCCCATCGTTGGGAATAAGCCTTCTGACCTGGCGTTCATAGGATTGGAAGTTTCTGAGAGGCAGCACCGTCAGTGGAGCATCTAGACTGTCCAGTATTCTGACATTGTGGCATGCTAGAGGAAAAGAATAAAGGGCACAGCAGCATTAATTCGGGACCTGGAAGGGTAATACAGGATCTGTCGAGGTTGGACCAAAATGCAGAGGCTACTTCACTATTACACCATCGGCAATGTTCAGCATCACTTCGATCTCTTAGCGAAGCATCTAGGATCTTATCGGCGTTGAACAGCATACGTAAGACCGGCAGCATCTAATCACTTCTACCAACTAAGTGCTCCATACTTTACGAATTACGACAGCATTCACGACAGCATTCTGTCTTTGGCACCAGCAATATGCATATCCGGACACGGCATTCTACGGCTTCCGAAAACATCTTACGGCTGATGAGGGCAGGAAGATCTGGCCGGACTGGCACCCATTCTGGCTTGCGAGGGTAGTGGAAAATCTGCATTGGCATGCATTGTTCGCTTGCGTATTTTATTTGTGCTAGATACCCCATATGCGTAGCAAAGCAAAGCAATCTCGAAGCCTCACGTCTCACTATCGGCTTCGTATGCAGTGAAATAACGCATAGATAAAGCATTGTCCCATGCGAGGTAATTTCGTGCCTTCGGAGCCTGTGCCCGACTCGCGGCATCGGGACTCACTCAAGCATGAACGGACAGCGAACAGATAAGACCGTAGACGGGGGGCCACATAGTCTGAGCGAATCTCCGATCGAACGCTCAGATCGGTCAGTAGAGAGTACCTAGGTAGAGTAGACTGGTGGACCGTGTCGATAAAAGGCCGCACGACGAACAAACGAACGAACGACTTTCCGACCTCACGTCCGAAACTGCAGAGCTTTTTGAAAAAAGTCCAGCCGGTGCTAAAGCCGAATGGATCTATTGGCGACTAGTGATGCCGTCATCTGTTCACGGAGTATGTATGTATGTATGTATGCGGCACGATAATTCGCAAATTAATGCACTGCGCGTGCGTGCGGAACCCCCCCAATGCGGCCTGCGTGACGGTATGCACCATGCGTGCGGAAACACCCCAATGCGGCATGTTTGACGGTATGCACCATGCGGGCAGAAACGCCAACGGCCAATCCAGCCCGGCTAGTTCCTGAGGGCCTCGATGTCCACGACCTCCTTGACGGCCTCGGTGGTCAGCACGAGCGGGTGCTCTTCCTGCACGCACACGCTGTCTTCGATGCGGATGCCCATGCCGCGGAAAGGGGCCGGGTACGCTTCCGTGTTGGGGATGTAGAGGCCGCTTTTGACGGAAAACTCGTCAGCCGGGGGTTGCGGGGATGGAAAGGGGGGGGGACGGAGCTTACGGCTCGATGGTGACGCACTGCCTCGACTGCAGCTTCGTTTTTCGAGACTGGCCGGGAGTATCGTGGACGTCTAGGCCGATGTAGTGGCCTAGATGGTGGGGGAAGAGCGCGTCGAGAGCCTGATCGATAGGACGTCGCGTTAGCACTGGAAGGATTCATGGAGACTTTATACGTAGGATGCATACGTTGCCGGACGTGTCAAAGCCCAGCTGCTTTAACTGATCTGTCAAAGCCGTCCCTGCAATGTTGTGCAACTCATCAAGGGAGACTTTGGCGTTGGCGCGGCAGAGGGAGATGCAATGGCGCTGCGTGGTGAGGACGACGTTGTAGAGGTCTTTTTGGGCGGGAGTGAAGGTGCCTGATACGGGCCATGTCCGTGTGATGTCTGTTATATAGCCGCCACATTCCTGGAGAGAGTTCAGGAAAGTTGGTATCAGTCAGTGAAGATGGAGAAGCCTACGCCACCTGCGTCTACTAGCACCATCTGGCCATCTCTGGACAAGAGTCAGCGTCGATGATGAGTGAGTAGGTACGGGGGGTTTACTTCAAGAGATGATCGTTTTGGGTATAGTGAATAATGCTGGCGTTCTGGCGAGATCAGCGGCACAGTCAATGAACCAGCACGGGATGAATCTAACCTGACCACCTGCTACCACCGGTATGTAAGCCGAGCAGTCACACCCTCGCCTCCTGAATTGATAATCCAGATATGCAGCCAAGCCCTTCTCTTTCTCCCATGCTCGCCGCATGGCATCTGTGTATGCTCTTCCTGACGCTTGGCCCGCCTTCCGCATGTTCGCAATCTCGGCATCGCTCTTGAGGTTTCGGAATCCATTGAGAACGTCCTTCAGCGGCAGCGTGTTGCTAGACTTAGACTTGAGGACCTTTGCGAGACCTTCGGCTTTCGGCGATTGGTCAAATAAGAAACGGGTGAAAAAGGACTTATTCTTTGGCTCGGAGATGAGGTCGGTGTAGATCTTCGATGCTTCTTGGACAATGGGCGCCAGGAGGCTCGAGATTTGGTTGATGTCCCCGGTCTTTGAGCATTTTCAGCAACACTTCTTGTTCCCACTGCTTCCTTTCCATACCTCATCTGCATTGAAGACATCCAGGGCTGCCCGTGTCCCTGATCTCACACCATCCCATTGCTCGGCCTTTGCATCCTTCTCCCGCACGAAAAGGTGAAACGTGTGGTCATCCCCGTCGATGCTCTTCCCTGCTTGCGGTAAACATCCCATTCGTCTATTCGTCCGTTCCCAGCCTACCTATAACTGCAACAGCTTCCGGTTCATTGAAGCCTGTTTTCCTCAGCACTTGCCTTCCACCGCAATCAAGATTCTTACCCGTTAGATAGAAGAAGTTAGAGTCCTGATGAAACTCGTGGAAGACCGCGCCAGATCTGTACTTAATCTCCGAGGCAGCTAGGATGGCAATGGCATTCTTCGGCAGGTTTGCGGCAAGCTTTGAGCGGCGTTGGGCATATTCAAGTGCTGTGATTCCAGGAGTGACTGGGTAGAGATGGTGTTAGCCATGTCTGATGTAATAATGGTGCCTAAGCTTACGCTCTCCAGCTTTTAATAGATGTGGATGGGTCTCATGAAGAGGTTGACCGAATCGGAGCTCGACGGCGGAGACAGATGCATACCGTCGAAGCAGGGTAGACCATCTCGGTTGAACAAGAAGCCGTCTCGTAATAGCAACCGCAAATGGCAAAAATGTTGGTGGCCTTGTACACTTGTTCAACGTGTGAGCGCATGGGTGCATGCTTGACGGTTGTGTGTCGGAAGCATATGAATGATATGAAGGTCAATTGGTAGAGCTTGACCGAGACCCCCTATGAGGTTTAGGCTGAGCGTTGCTTTTAGTCTCGGGTTTCCTCGGGGTACGCGGAAATAGTTAAAAGCGGATAAAAATATAAAAAAGGGAAAAAGAGGGAAAAGAGAAGAAAAAAGGTTCGGCAGCTGGCAGGGGTCCAAGGGATTGATCCGGGGTGAGGGCTGAAAGGCTAAAGGCTAAAAGGCTTTTGCATAACCCTTATGCGGGCTCCCAGCTCGGTACATAACCCGATATCCGCATAATCGATATCCGCTTTTTTTCAATATCCCCCCACATATGCATACGCATATGCACATGCCGTAAGCCTGCAAGCGCCATTCCACCTCGGATGAGATTAAGCATACTGTATACTGTAAGCCTGTAAATCGCTGTCCTCTGGGGCCCTGCTCTATCCATGTGTCCCCTATCTAACCCTAACCCTAACCAACCCCCCCCCCCCCAAACTCCACAATGCCTTCGGCGGCCCTCCCCGGGGCCGACTGCGGTCGAGCTCTTCCCTTCCAACCTCGCTGGATTTGTTCATCAGGAGAGATTCGAAAAGCATATGTTCACTATATACACTGATTTGATCCCGGACGAGCTCGGTGCATGAAGTATGCCGAGGGGTCCCGTATACCCCTGCCGAGTCGCATCCACTCAGCATGTGCTCACCCACACCGGACGTTTTCCCACCCCTACCGAGCTGGGATCCGCCCCAGGATCCTTAAAAAAACGTGGTAGGTACGCCGGATGGCTTTTTGTGCTGCCAGAGCAAGATGTCAAAATCACAGTGTGGCTGAAAGCTAGCTTGCTGAAACTTGTGCTGGAATTGACGGGATGCTTCATACATCTTGTTTGTCAGATATCGGTGCGAATGAGTACGAGGGTGGACGGAACAGAAACAGAAACGAACCGGGAGGGAGAAGGATGTAGATAAAATGTTTCAAATCGCAGCTATTTCCTCTATACAGACAACCTTCTCGTCAAAAGGAATAGAGGTATCGTTGGTGAGCAAAACTTCTTCCGATCTAATCATTCCAAAGCCCTGAAATCGCCTGCAATGCTTCCTCCCGGGTAGTCTAGTTATAAGTGAACGCTGCCAGTCCTCAGATACAAAGCTATGGTCAAGGTATGCTCACAGCATCCAAGACCAGAGCATCCATCCCCCTATCGCCGCTTCAAACAAACTCCAGCAACATACGATACCCTCCACCCCTTTGAGTGACACCGCATTGCTTTTCGCTGGTACCGTATTGCCTTTTGCTGGTGCCGTACTGCTTTTTGCCGGTCCCGTACTGCTTTTTGTTGATGCCGTACTGCTTTTTGTCGGTGCTGTACTGCTTTTGGTTGGCGTCGCAGTGCTTTTTGCTGGTGGCACCAAAGTTGTCTGAACGGTCAGGTCGATGCCGCTCGCCTCAAACGTTACATTCTTTCCATCCGTATGGAAAGCCTCCGTGCCAAATTGCGCAGTGCCAAGATAGGTTGAGTTAGCCATTTTGCCCCCGTCCATGAGGTACTGGAAGAGCGGCAGAACATTCAGCTGCGAAAAGGACGTCATGTTCTTCGGAGCAACAAAGCTGAAAACCTCCTGGCCGGGTTGATTGTCCATCCCATCCACTTGGGTGTTTTGCCCAGCGAAAAGGGTGCTGAGGGAACGCAAAGGTGTTAGCGAGATGGTTCCAAAATGGAACAAGTGGGAGAATGAGTGCTTATTGAGGAGTCCATGACTTACTAGTTCTTACCATCCAAAATGGCACTACCAGCTGAGCCGCTCGCGTACCCTATGGGCTCCGTCTCGTCTAGGGCGGCAAACCAGATCATGACTTCAAAAGCTGGATTCGTAACGTTGGTGGACTGATTCTTGTCAGGATCGAGGAAAAAGTCAAGAGTCACGTCGGCCTTTGCACCAATGGCGTCTAAGCCGTCGATATCAAAAGTGTCTGGATTTCCGGTCCCGCTCGGGTACATGGCCCAGTTTGCGCTGACTGTAATTCCTGAAATGTTCGAAAGCATCACAGGGAGGACGGCCGATCTCGACTTGACATTGGCATAAGAGTGCACACGTGTATCTGAGGCATAAGTATCATTTGCCCCCCAAATCCAGGTGGTCGAGAAGGCAGTTCCATCCTTTTCATCTTTTACCTACGAGACCTTAGAGATTCCCTTTGATAAGACCTGGGCTGGAAAGATGATACCGTTGTGCACTGCGATCCTGAATCGTCGGCACCCCAAGCGTCGTTTTGGACTATGGGTTCTTATTAGATTGTGTCTGGTAGTGTTGGAAGCGCAGACTTTGGACTTGCTCATGTACTGTCCTGAAGTACTGGTCAAATTCTGATACTGGCCACACAAGACGGCTTGCGCGGCCGTTAGTTGTACTGATGAAGTAAAAGCGACGACGAGAAAGATGACATTGTAGAGAGAGCTCTTTACTAAAGACATATCTAGGGAAACGTTGAGAGATCTGAAAAGTAAAATTACAAGATGACACGAAGGGTGTCCCTTGGCAGAGGGAGCACTTTGGATGATGGATCTTAATCAGTACGGGAGGTAGAAAATTCTATAGCCTTCTGCGAGACGCCGTCGTTGTATCCCCATCGTGGGAAGATGGGTGGTCAATGATAAAATCCAGTGTCGCATCTGGAAAGCAAGATAGTGCACTGTCATGCACTATCATGCACTATCATGCACCCTCATGCACCCTCATGCACCAACACGATAGTGATTAGTGACCACATCTCGCATCTAGAAACCCTAATCCGAGCATTGCCGTGCATAGTAGTGGGTACGTCTCGCATCTAGAAATCCAAGCCTGAGCATTGTCGCGCATAATATTGGGTTTATCTCGCATCTCTATTCAGCGATACTCTTGTTTTTCTAGGGTGGCCCCCCACGTACGTCGTGCGTCGTACGCGCCCAAAGGCTGGCCCGGAGACTTTGTCGAAAACCTAAAGGGCTTTTTAAAAGGAATCGAACTGTCCGATTTGCTGCTTCATCATAGAATTGACTTACCAACTCTCAGGTTATCAGCGAGATTTTGATTCCACGTAGCTGATCGCTGCCCGGGACTGTGTTACCAACGGAGGCTTAAAATTTACCGACACCTGTGAGCCAACGTCTATCTCGGTGGCATCGTCAGACCCTTTCCTTGGCTAATAGGCCTTGATTTTCTTTGTGAATGTTGATTGTGTCAACGATCCTGTAGCGATAAGATGTTGGTAACACGTGATACGTGATCCAGATCAGACTAGCAACTTAGAGATATTACCATGTGTACAGAGTCCTAGCAGATCAGGTCGAGCCTACTGCACACGGTGGAAAGAACTGGCGTAGTTGATAGTTTGGACGTGGGGGTTGTCGACAATTCATTTGTCGCAACAGTCGATACGTACTTTCGGCTTCCTTAACAAGTTGAAGGTTCGTAGCTAGCAACATGTACGATGAGCACATCAAAGTCAACGAGACCTACAGCCAGTTCGGAGCCTTCAACTGTTAATCCTACAACCGCTTTCGGATTTGCCCCCTGAAACGTGCAGGCCGCCAAAGTTACATCATAAGAAGTAGATTTGTTGAGGAACAATATAGATTCTCATAGTCTAGAAAAGGTCGGGGCGCTCTAGCTCTCATCGCTTGATTATATCCAGAGGGATATCCAGAGGGACAACATAATCAGCTAGACAGCTTCTTTTGGTTGTCTCATTTCCTTACCAAATTTCTCTTCTTTGGGCTCTGCAACACCAGCCTCGCCTACCTACAACTGCCACCATACCCTGGGTACCTTGCTAGGTTGTGGCTTTGGTGGTGATCAGGCTTCCCGGTCAAGTTCGACAAACAAAGAGTCGAGCAATCCAACAATCGCGACCGCTGGTATCTGACATATTTGATCTCACGGTCCAAGATGGCAACGATATACGCACCTTCCCAAGAGGGGTCGACTCCGCTGTCGGAAATCTCTATCTGCAAGGAGGAGGCCAGCGCAGAACCAAGCATCCATGCCGTCGAACCAACTTATACCATCGAATCAACTTATGCCGTCGAAAAGATTGGGGACATGGACAACGCCGGCTACGTCGCAACCTGGAAGCTTCGACTGAATCGACTGCTCCCGCTCAGCTCTGTGTGCGCAATCGCTGCATACTGGCTGTATTTCGCCTTTCGCGTTAGGTACACGGTGGCAGCGCAAGAGCTGAGGCATACGGTGTATCCAGTGGCCTGGCTGTTCATTTCTATTGAGCTCGGGGTTGCATGTAAGCCTCCTGATATTTTTCGCATTTTTCCATGGATGTCTGCTAATGCGGATATCCTATAGTACCAGTAGTGCTAACTCAACTGTTGCAATGTTTCTCGATCAAACCTCGCCGCCGCCCTAGACTGCGTGTCCTTGGAGAACATGTTCCTATGGTCGACGTTCTCATCACCTGCGCAGGCGAGGAAACTGTTGTAGTTCTTGATACACTTAGAGCAGCCGCTGCTATTGACTGGCCCCGGGACAGGATGCGTGTCGTAGTCTTGGATGACAAAGCATCTGAGGAAGTGCGACGGGAGGTGGAGCTTTTAGGCTTGGACAACCCAAGTATACATTATTCGGCAAGAAAAAAGACGAAGGGCGTACCACACCATTTCAAAGCAGGGAACCTTAATCACGGATTAAGTTACGTTGACGGTCTCGAAGGAGAAAAAGCCGAGTATGTTGCTGCTTTGGATGCTGATATGATTGTTGAGAGAGCATGGCTCCGCGCTATCATCGCCCATCTCATAACCGATCCTGGATTAGCATTAGCATGCCCGCCTCAGGTATGTCGATCCCTCATCAACACCTTAGGTGGTAGTAGTCTACTTCGTTTGGACATGCCCTACTCGGTGTCTTGACTAATCAGCAGTAGCTATTCTACAACATACCAAAGAACGATCCACTTTATCAAAACTTGGCGTTTTTCTTCGGCATTCTAGAAGGCGTAAAAGATGCCATTGGATCAGCTTGGTGTACAGGGTCTGGCTATGCCCTCCGTCGGACTGCTCTGGATCAGATCGGCGGGTTTCCCACCGGCTCAGTGGCTGAGGATGTTTTTTGCTCGAACTTGCTGCTCGGAGCTGGATGGAGAACATGTTACGTACAGGAACCTCTGCAATACGGGACGGTACCGGACTCATTCTCCGGCCATATCAAGCAGCGAGCACGATGGGTAAGCTTACATAATCCTAATATACGGTCGTTTTCGATTCCTGCTGACCAGAATCAGACGATTGGGACCGTTCAGACCTCAGCGAAGCTTAACTTCTTTCTCTTCGGCCGAATTTGTCGAGGAATGAGCGTGCTTCACCGATTCACCGGATTCGTTTTTACTCTCGGTACCCTCTCAACAGTCTCCGCAATGGGTTCTCTCCTGATGTTTCCCATTGTGTTGGTATCTGGCTTTAGGCTCGTTGCGTATGCAGACAACGACCAGTTAAGATGGCTCCTCCGACTCGCCTTCTTCTCTTTAGCTATCAACCGTGTAAATGAATGGGTCGCATTCGTGCCGGCTGGCTATCGTTTTGCCTGGCGTGGAAACCTCAATACGCTCTGGATGGCACCCTGTCAGTATTCTTTACTCATTCAGCATCCGTCCTTTACATGCAATCATCCCTTTACTGACAATTCTGTTCTGTGTAGATCACGGGGTTGCAATCGTCCGCTCATTCCTCCTCCCCGCCTTTCTCGGCGGAAAACTCGCCACCTTCTCCTCATCCGGCAGCATCGACTCCGTCATCAATGAACGCGATGCCCGCAACCGTGCCCCCCTGATGCGCCGCATAAAGGCAATTTGGTGGAACGGCGGAGCTTTCATCCACCTCTCCTATGTGTTCTTCACTGTCGGTGCCGCCGCTCTCTCTACCGCTCGCGCATTTACAACAACCCCAGATACTTACGAAGATCGCTTATTTTACATCCTCACCCATGCCGGTTGGCCTCCATTGGTTTGGCTTGTCGCTTCGGCGTCTTGTATGATTCCCATCAAATATGCAGTAAGCCCGCCTTCGATGCCTGACCGTGAGGATTTGCTGCGGAGGGACAAGGATACGGGAATTGCGCATCCGACCGACGGTGCGAAGCGGTCGAGGTGGGGCAAGACTAATTATTTGCATGAGGGCTTTTATGCCGTGGTGACAATTTACACGACGATTCTTTTCTTTGGAACCTGGTTTTATTAAGCAATGGGGCAAGAGCGAGAGGCAAGAAGGTTTCTATGAATTGAAATTATCAGCGATTTATCTAATGATACAAATAGACTTGGGGGGGGGGAGTTTTCTGCAAGGCATTATACAACATACACATTGGCCTTATTCCACCGTTCCACCATTCCACTACATTCAATCGCACCCACATCTCGGTCAGAGGGCCCGGGGCTATGGTACAATGGTCGTTCAAACGGCGCTGTCGCAGTGATCGAAGAGTAGGACTGACCATTGCCGACCACTATGGCAGGGGCGGCTTGGCACAAATATGTCTGCCAAAGATATCCGAAATGTACCTCGATCTCACCCCTGATTAGTTCTAGGTCGATCGCCGCCCTATGGTCGGGCGACCTGGGTGAGCTGGGAAGTTACACACATGGGCAAATTACGAGCCACAGCACAAGTCTGAACGAGAGTGTATCTTCAGATTAACTTTTTGCCAAGTGTTACAATAGATAGCTTGACTCAACTTCGATGAGGTAAGGTAGCGAGTAGCGGTGATCAGAATCGGGGGTATCCGAGGCTAGCCTCTAGTCACCCTTAACAGAATTACTATTCAGAAATCGACAACAAAAGCCTTGATCACAGAATTTCCAGTTTATGGATTGCTCTACTCAACTACTTACAGAGTTCTCTAACGAGAAGTAAAAGCGCACCTTCATCCGTTCTAAATTTATTCGACTCCAAAATTCGCCCCAGTGCTGGAAGTCTATGTATAGTATCCAGAGAGCCAGAATATCTTTGAAGTCTTT